ATTAGTTATAACCCCAATTAAGGTACGTAAAACCCTACTTACTAAGTCCCATGATCCTCCAAGGATGGAGCTCAAGGTTTCGGGTTTTGGGTTAAGCTTCGGTGTGGGTGGGGGTCCGGGGGACCTTCTACTGCTTCGGTTCCAGATTTCAGCTGGGTAGTTCTCTAAATTAGGGTCCCGTTTGGGGTCCTTTTTATAAGGGTGCCGTACTGCGCTGGGGACCCAAAAATGGACCGTAATTGAGAAAACTACCCAGCTGCTTCTTCAACGGCTGATGTCATCAGACTTGTCTTGTTCGCCTCTGTGCTCTTCATCCTGTGCTCATATCATCGTGACCCTTATGATATGTGCCCCTGAACCCTAAACCCCTAAACCCTAAACCCTAAACCCTAAACCCTGATGATTCTTAGTCTCCGAATTTGCGGAAGGCCATGGGATCTGAACAGATCACCTCCCAAAGCTCGCAAAGTTGAGAAAACCCGCTGCATTGAGTGGATGGAAACCTGTCGAATGCATGGACACCGCTGCAAAATTTCCGAAGCATGTTTGAAGCCCCAAGCCTTAGAGCCTAAACCCTTAACCAGGCAATTGCCAAGCTTTTGCGGAGGCGTGATCGGCTTTGGCCTCATTTTGCAGTCTGCTTGACGGAACCGATTCAGGGGTTTAGGATTCGGGGTGTAGGGGGAACCATACCCGCAGCTTCACTATGCCTGTGTGGCTTTTGCAGCTTCTTGGTCTTTTTTGGCATAATGTTGAGATGCTCTAAGCAACTGTAAACCCACCCTTATAGAGCCCTTAAAGGAAACCAATAAGTTACTAAGTCCCATTACCCCTGAGCGTGCTGATGTTCGCTCCTCGGCCGTCGATGTCGATGTTATTGCTTCGCCCGTTGTCGATCTGCTGAAGAGCCATCGGGATGATGCTGAGTAGTTCCCTAAGGGTCCAAAGGACCCAATAATGAGGTACTTTGGTTGCGGATAGTAGTTTTCGAGGTTAAAATTTGGGAGAGTATATGATTATTAGGTACTTGGACCCTTAGGGGTTGTGTCCACCACCGGTTTCCTTGTCAATGGCAGCAGATGTTAGGCGCAGACGGATTTTCGATTAGATGGTCAGTCGGGGTTCCATGCGACATATGACTGCAGTGACAAGTATGTATTGGCATAGCACCACTTGGCCAGTCTCGAATGGTTATGAACACCGGTATGACCATGGTCAGCATCAGATTCAGGGTTTAGGGGTTTGTGGGTTTGGGATCTAGGGACCATGATCTTCCCTAAACCCTAAACCCTAAACCCTAGTGATGTCACCTCTAATTTTGGCAGACGGCTGCTGGCAAAGCAGCCATCAGTGACGAGTCCGATTCCCTTCAAGCCCTGCGCCTCCGCGACGTCGCCTATATCCCTAAGGTCCATGGGCCCAACTAGTATATACTTTGTCCTTAAAGTAGTCTCTATACAGGTACTTTGGGGCCAAAGTATATACTACTTGGGTACATGGACCCTTAGGGTATCCCAACAGCCCGAACCAGAGGGATGTTGCAGTCAGGCACCTTGCCCACGCAGCCCCCCAAACAGTTACTAATTTACCTGCTAGCAGCTTTTCAGTTTGCCCTTCACCCTTAAACCCTAAACCCCAAGCCCCCTATAAGGCCTACACCCCACAAAGCCTGAAATTTAGGCAGGCCAATTTGTGTCTACCCGGCTTCGACGGCCGAGGTGTCAGTGGCAGTGGCCAAAGTTGCGTTGGCAGCTTTTTGGACGCTGCCAGACTGCAAAATGGCGTTTTTATGGGCTTGAGTACCACGGGGGGAAAAGGATGACGACGATGGCGGACGAGGGTAGCGTACACCCTTCTAGAACCGGCGTAGATCCCTTGTAGGAACCTCGCAAGCACGATACCCTAGACCCGGCTCTTTGTTTCTGCGAATCTTGCTCCCACCTTCTCCCGACCTGGCTACCGCCGGATGTGCGTTGAAACCACCCCCGCGACATCCTGAAGCCCTATACCTAAACCCTGTAAGCCCCATGCTAAGATACGGTATGCCCTATCTAATCACAAACTGTTATTGAGAACTCTAAAGAAACAAGAACTAGCAACAGAGGTTTTAGATATTTTCGTCATGCATGCATACACAATGTTAAAGTCCTATATATATATATATACATATATATATATATAAACACTATGCAAACCGTTCTACCACCCTACTAGACACTTTATTATCCCCGGTATAAGCCTCTTTGCACGTATGCATGCCGGTATTTAGGAATTTATGTATATGCATGCATGCATACATGCATGCATGCATGTATGTATGTATGTATGTATGTCTGCATCTATGTATGTGTATATACACTTGTATACTATGTACATGTGTATTTGTATGTACATGTGTCTGATTACGTATGTTTAGAGGTTTACGTAAATGCGCTTGTAGATGTGTATATGTACATGTATATGCCTGCATGTGTGTATACATGCATGGATGGATGGATGGATGGATGGATGTACCAATGTATGTACGTGTTTATGCATGTATGTACGTACGTAAGTGTGTATGTATCCTTGCATCTGTGTATGTGCGTGACCCTGCTGAACAGACCTGAACGAACACATTTAAAACAACTCGATATAAAACCTCCGTGTTTACGATTTCGAGTTTATAGACCCTAAACCCTAAACCCTTAACCGTTTTAGAGACCGCAATATGAAGCCTAAAGCTCTCGCCAAGCTGTTTTCCTGGCATCTAAGGACTGCAGGCAGAAAGCGAGGCTTCTGCTGATGTGTCTTCTTGTGCGTGTTTTGGGAGAGCGGTGCAGAGCTACCAGTGCTGGTGTTGGAATCCCTAAACCCTGAACCCTAAACTATGGAAACCCTAAACCCAAAACCCAAAAATCGGGAAACCCTAACCTCTAAACTATGGAAACCCTAAACCCA